CAACTTCAGTCTGGGGCAAAGATTCAGGTCACTAGAGACATGGACACAGACCCTAATTCTTCTACCAGAGGAGTCGAACTCACGGGTACCCCTGATCAAATAGCTAAGGCTGAGCAGTTGATTAAAGATGTTCTTGCTGAGGTATTAATTAGAGTAAATGAACAATTAAAATCTCTACATATACATTTGACCAAAGAAGACCTCATTTCAAAAATATTTGGCTCAGAAAGTTTCCTTTTAATTAAAATATGATTTGTTATGATAAATTTCATCCAGGTGCAATGTAATAAGTTTTTTATGCTGACAATTTGTTTATCATTGAGACAGGCTGAAGCAGGTGGTTCTGGCACAGTTACTCGGCGGTTTACTGGACAGCCACCTGGAGCAGAACAGTTTGTAATGAAAGTTCCTAACAACAAGGTGAATTGTGGTTGAAGTTGATCGTCATCTCATATGTGGTTTTCTATTAGTATTCTTTTAAGCTGTATGAATTGTCAGGTGGGGCTTGTTATTGGTAAAGGAGGTGAAACCATTAAAAATATGCAAGCAAGTTCAGGAGCACGTATCCAGGTAGGTATCATACAAATATATATCCATAATTTATGATATACTGCAGACATTTTAGTTGGTTTTAACGGTTTCAAAAAACATTTCTGATGATAGAAATTTCTTTCTGGAACATTGCAGGTGATACCTTTACATTTGCCACCGGGGGATATGTCCTTGGAGAGGACCGTGCAAATTGATGGAAGCAGCGAACAGATAGAGGTTGCGAAACAGTTGGTCAATGAAGTCATCAGTGAGGTATGCGCTTGCGTTCTAGTACATGTTGACTGCTCCGATTTATAATCTAACCTGAGAATGGACAGGCACATATGTTTACCTCTTTAGTCTAGTCGAAGTGCTAATTTATATTTTTGCTACTCTGTGATTTCGTTCTAGGAGACAAGCGTAGTCTTGGGATCTGTTGAGGATCCTATATAATATATATAAACCCCCTATATATTGATTCTGTTTTTGTCATGAGAATTGCTATCATTTCTATTTGATGTTTATAGATTTCTTTTGCTTTCAATATGTATTTGATATAGGCGCACATGTTTTCTTGTTATGCATTTATGGTTTTATTTGTCTCAACTAGTCTGTCTCCAATTTAGGTATTATTTTATCTGACAATTTTTCCCTGAATTTCATGTTGCTGCATCTTTCATCCTTTATAAGATCCTTTCCTTCCTGAATGCTGATCTGGTAATATTTGCCAATGGATATGCAAATTGTGTGTCGTCTGCTTGTCTTTCCCATATAGCGCCCCCCCCCCCCCAAAAAAAAAA